AGAATTCTCTTCTAGACTAGTTCGGCTGCGCCAGTAGCATGTACTACATTGCAGCAATATTAGCTTGCTACTATCATATTTTAGAATCATAGAAATGATTCTTCAATGGTTCAGTTAGCCGTTCTAATTGGCAATCTTCGAATCAAAGAATAATTCTTTGCCCAAATGTCAAGTAATCATTATTGGCTCTCTGAAAAAAGGTTGATCTATTATTTACCCATGCAATGAGGTTGAGCGGTTGAGACGAGGTTGGCGACGGGGAGGAAACCTCTACTCCATTTCTTTTAATTTTCTCATAGCCTTTGAGACCTGTAAGAAACAGAAAAAACAAGGTTAGCAGTGCTTTCCCCTTCAGTCCCCCTGTTGAGAAGAGTTATGCGATTTGATCAAAGGAGGTGCTGAAAAGCTAAATTTAGTTCATATTGGTTCAAAGACATACCTCAAATTTGATTTTCAAGTTTGCAGTCAGTGATACCTCCTTTCAGTTGGTGGAAGTTGCAAACCTCTGCATGGGTCTGAAAACTGGCAGGGTCAAGGCCAAGGTGCATGCTAGAAAAGAAATGTACAAGCAATGATTAAACTCGGGACAAGGGAAAAAAAATGCGTGATAAACACCATTCAGTTTTATGGAGTAGCAGACACAGAGACTCCATTTCCATATCAATCTTGTATGAAACATAGAAGGCCATTGCCCATTGCACAGCAAACAACAAAATATATTTTTATTTCTACAGTAGGAAGACAGAATTTGGAAAATATAAAGAGAATCAAACATGTTAATTTTCCCTCATGACATTCGAACCAGTCCATAATTTGTTTCTTCTTATAAATCTTCTATCTTTAAACTCCAGTAACATCCTCGTCTCCTTTCACACTCATTGAAGCCATGCATATAACAGATATCATGTTATATTTTTCCAGCATCAGTTAATATACCCCTTTATGGATTTTGTAATCAAAGAACAGATATTGATGGATGACTTTTCATCTGTTGTTCAACATCACATCTGAATATTGATATATGATAT